GCCCCAGGGGAGAATTTGTTTCCTTGCCTTTTCTGGCTTCTATTGGCTGCCCACATTTCTTGGCTTGTGGCCTCATATCATTGTAACCTCTGCTTTTGTGGTCACATCTCCTTTGAGGCTGATACTGCTGCTCCCTCACACAGGGGTCACAAAATAATCCAGAATAATCTCCTCATCTGAGGATCCTTAGCTTAATCACCAAAGTCCCTTTTGCCATGTAAAGGAGCAGTCAGAAGTTCCAGAGATTAGGATATGAACATCTTTGGGGAGACCATTATTTGGCCTACCACAGAGCATAAAGATTGAAAGATGGTGTCCCTTAATGGTATTTCTCTTTAATAATATCTTAAATAACATGACAACAAAACACAGTGATTTATTTTATTTTAATAGAGATGGGGTCTCACTGTGTTGCCTGGGCTGGAGTGTAGTGGCTATTCACAGGCACGAACATATCGCACTGTAGCTTAGAACTCTTCTCCTTGAGCTATCCTCCCACTTCAGCCTCCCAAGAAGCTGGGATGTAGGTACCAAGCCCAGCTACAGCTGGGTTTTTTTATTTTTTTTCAACTGCCGTAACAATACTCACTGCCACTTATTAAATGCCTACTATGTTACCAGGGAGAGGACAGTAGCATAACCAACTCATTTGAGAAGGTAATTTGCTCAAGGTGACCTAGCTGGCAAGAGCCCACATCCTTGCCAGGCACTGAAGTTGAAGGTTGTATTTCTCCTCTCGGTGACTAAGGCAGACGCCAGTCTAAGGCCACATTTGTGTCAGAGTGCTTCGGAGCTTAGATTCAGAGGCGTTCCATACTGCTCAAGCCACCCATGGTTGCACAGGAGGGCCTGGCATAGGCCAAAGAACTGGCAAAGCCTCCCATCTCTCCTCACCACTTCGGGAGATCTAATCTCTTCTCTGTCCTGCTAACTCGCTCAGCCAAGTGACTGTACTTTTTGGGCACTGACCCTGGGTCCATGGGACAGTTCTGAGCTGGTTCACTGATGGAAAAAACAGCAGCTAGGTCACACTCCTGTGATAGGCTTGGTGCTCAGAATAGTCATCAGGGTCTTGTTAGGGGATTGACAGGCCAGAGAAGGAGCTGTTTTCATAGACTGGCCTTCGCAAAGCTGTCAACAAAGCCCCTAAAGAGGTATGGTCAGAGGCAGAGAAAAATGCAAAAGAAACGCATCATCCACACTGGCAGGAGAGATGCAGTGAAATTGATCCCACTGATGCCGGAACAGTTAATTGCCACCTGGGTCAGAGTGGAGAATTCCATCTACCCAACCACTTAAAGTAAGCTCGAATACTTTACAGTGAAAACTGGACAAAAGTGAAATTCAAAGGCTGCCCAACGGGCAAGTGGTGCAGTGGGTTACAAAACAAATGCCAGAGGAAAGACATGTGCTCAGGGATCCTGGTGCCAGAGCAGACAGTGTCTATGAGAGACCACCTGTGCTTTGCATAGAATCACCCTGGAAGCAAGCACCTCATCTTGTGTGACCACCAAGTAACATACCACAGTTCTGAACCTTTGACCCAGAAAACCAGCCATGAGTAGCAAGGGACTTTACATCTCATATTTAAAAATAAATAAAGACTTGCATCTGCATGGACTAGATAAAAATAAAAAAAAAAAAAGAAAAAAAAATAAATAAAGACGAAGTAAATCAAACTCTTAGTACTAATACATTATTAGTGTTCGGCAGTTTTATACCCATCGTGACAACCTGTGGATTAATTGAAAGTGCTTGAATGTGTAAGAGAATCTGGCATACATTAGTTTTGTGGCTTTTTTTTTTCTTGACCACCTATCCCCAAGTTCTAAGTTTTGTGATTTTTATTCTGAAATGTGTAATTGAAAACTAGATACGTGATTTTAATTTTGGAGTATAAGGAAATTGCTAAATTGTTAAACAGCACTGGAATGCTCAAGAGAACTTGATTTACTACATTTATAATATTTTCTATTATTTTGTGTTGAGCCTCACTTTGCTGCTTGGATTTGCATATGCCTGGTTGGGAGTTTGCTTTCCCGGAGAGTTTTTTGTTTGTTTGTTTTGGGACAGAGTCTCACTCTGTTGCCCCAGGTAGAGAGTACTGTGGCATCAGCCTAGCTCACAACAACCTCAAACTCCTGGGCTCGAGCAATCCTGCTGTCTCAGCTTCTCCCGAGTAGCTGGGACTACAGGCATGCGCCACCATGCCCGGCTAATTTTTTCTCTATATATTTTTAGTTGTCCAGCTAATTTCTTTCTATTTTTTTAGTAGAGACGGGGTCTGGTTCTTACTCAGGCTGGTCTCGAATTCCTAAGCTCGAACGATCTGCCCACCTCAGCCTCCCAGACAGAGTGCTAGCATTACAGGCATGAGCCACCGCACCCAGCCCTCCTGGAGAGTATTATTAAAACTTGTAAGTATGGTTTAAAATGTTTAAAGAAATTTAATGAATTTGCAAATGGGGTTAATTGTGTTGGGAATTTAATCTGTTAAATGTACGAATGATTAATGGACAAGCAAGGGTGTTTTTATTTTTATGGAAGAAATTACATTATCAGTATAACAAGATGTGTATGATGACCCTAAAAGCTTAAGAACTTAGATTTTTAAAATCTTACCCCTTTTAACAGATTGAAAATTAATCCATGGAATAACTTTGTGGACATACTTTTGTTCAAATGACTTATACATTTTTAAAAAATCGAGCAGATATGGATACTGATTGATCACATCTCTGGAAATTGAGGCACTAAAGTGCTTGCACCCTGGGTTTAGAAAACTTTCTGGTTGAAACAATTTCCCTGTTTCCTGAACTCCCATACCACTATTTTTTTTTTTTTTCTGGAGACAAGAGTCTAGCTCTGTTGCCCCAGGTAAAGTGCAGTGCCGTCATCATAGTTCACAGCAACCTCAAACTCCTGGCCCAAGTGACCCTCCTGCCTCCGCTTCCCCAGTGGCTGGGACTACAGGCACGTGCCATGATACCCAGCTTATTTCTTTCTATTTTAGTAGAGATGGGGTCTCACTCTCGCTCAGGCTGGTCTCAAACTCCTGAGCTCAAGGTATCCTCCTGCCTTAGCCTCTCAAAGTTGCTAGGATTACAGGCGTGAACCACTGTGCCCAGCCACCCATACCACTTTACCCTTGGTTCGACTTGCATGTAAATAGCTAAAAATAGTGTGTCGGCTCTCTCAAAAGACTTCGACTCCCTGTCGACCAGGCTCTGGCCTAGCTCCATGGTTTTCCCCACAAAGATCCTGCCACAGTGGACCCACACTGAACATTCACTTAACTTGTTACCAGCCAGAGGAAGAATCTATAGGAACCTTTCTCAAAGCAAACACCTACCACTCTCCCCATAGCCTTTTTCTCTAGCAGCTGTCCTGTCTGGACCCTCTTTCTTAGGGCTACAGGTGTTCCGGAAACTCACTGAATTAATCCCTAAACAAGAGGTCGTCACATTGTAGACTGTCACCTCTGGTCCCAGCCCAGTAAATTCTTAGTCTTGGTCCCCCTCCCCCTTAAATGAGGGGACATAACTCATGTTAAGCATTCTATTTTTAAGAGTTCCCTCAACCAAATCAAGCTTGAGTCCCTTGAAATCTAAGATTAATCACAGAAATTTATATGTACTAATGCTCTACAAGCTCTATGTTATAGCATCAACTTTACAATGGCACTATCATCCCCACTTATAGATCAGGGAACTGTAGAGCACAGTTCACTCATTTTAGAAAGGGCAGTCATGGATTTGAACTCTAGCAGTCTGACTGCACAGACCCAACTCCCTTTAAACACTACACCAAACCGTTTCAACTCCTAAACACAACCATAACTTGAACACAGATCTATGACTTCAGCTGCCAACTTACATTTCTATTACACACTGTACATTTTTTTTTAGACAGAGTCTTGCTCTGTTGCCCGGGCTAGAGTGCTATGGCATCACCTAGCTCACAGCAACCTCAAACCTGGCTCAAGCAATCCTACTGCCGCAGCTCCCGAGTAGCTGGGACTACAGCATGCACCACCATGCCGGCTAATCAATATATATAATGTGTGTGTGTGTGTGTATATATATATGTGTGTGTATATATAATGTATAATATTTTTTTAGTTGTCCAGTTAATTTCTACTTTTTTAGTAGAGACGGGGTCTCGCTCTTGCTCAGGCTGGTCTCAAACTCCTGAGCTCAAACAATCCAGCCTCCTAAAGTGCTAGGATTACAGGTGTGAGCCACCATGCCCGGCCCACACTGTACTATTGATAAAAGTCTTCACTACCCTGCATTTTGAATAAAAGACAGACTCAGGGAGAGATAGGAAAGGCGAAAAAATGAGAGGTGCTACAGCAGTGCACACAAAGTGCCTGGGGATCTTGTTAAAATGCAGATTTGCAATCCGTATTCTGGGACAGGGTCTGAGATTCTGCATTGCCAACAAGCTCCCAGGTAATGCTGGACAGCTGCTATCTGTGGGACATTTTGAATAGCAAGGAGTGAGATGACTCAGACAACTCAAGCTGTTCCCTGCAACAAAAATAAAAGGAGTTGGGGACATACAGATGTCACAGAGCTGTTTGATGCTGTGGAAAACAAAGGAACATGGGCCTTCTCCTCAAGAAGTCCATTATACACCCGTGCCCTTAGGTCCAACACACAGGAGAGCTGTGAGGAAATCAATCACCTTTTCCTTTCTAAAATGAAGAAAACTGAACACACTGCAAGGTCAGAAACACATTAGGGTTGGGTACAGGTGCTCCACACTGTCCTTGACCCCAAATACTTCCAGAAAACAGCAAGCAAGGAGTAGGCAAAGAGCTGTCAGGGCAGTGTTACCATTTTAATATAGTCTGTGCAAGCAATATCAAAGTTGTCCATAGTCTCCAAGTTTGCCCTATTTTTAATAGGCACTACTAAATTTTTTTAAGTGTGTGCTGATAAAGAGATTAGTCACACCTCTGAGGGACTTAAAAATGAAAAGCCACATAAATTCTCTTCCTTAAAAAAGAGCCATTTCAAAAGATTTTCTTTAATATCATAAAATATTTTCATGGACAAGTGAGCTAGCAAACACACATGCACCAATGTGCCTTTTGACAAGAGTACCCCCTACCCCGACTCCCACACCAAGGCGGACATGAGATTGGAGAAATGAATACAGCAGATGAAACGGATAGAAGAAAAAAAAAATCAGTAAAAAGGATGGAATATAACTTTGTGCTTGGTTATTTTCCTATGTCACAACAAAACAAGACATTTTGGTGCAAATAGTTAATTTTTCCTCTTTTCCATTTAAGTCTGGTGGAGAAAAAAATACTTTTTCTATAATAAAATATGTAGTTTTTTGGTTTTTAACGTAACTTTTTTTTTTCTTTTTTTGCAGAAAATAATTTTGTAAACTGTCACTTCGCGGGCAGGGAGGCTCGATGCCACGCGGGCCTCAGCTCGCCCCATGGAGGCTGAGAGCTGAAACCAAACCCGGGCAGGAGACGGGGGACAGCGGAGGGCGCAAGGCAGGGCGCGGCATACAGGGCGAGGGCGGCCGGGCAGGGCGGGCTAGAGGTCACTCTCGCCGTACAGCGCCGTGGAGAAGGACATGTAGTCCAGAGCACCGGGCACGGCGTCGGGGCCGGTGTAGGGGGCCATCCGCGCGATGCAGTACTCGGCCTGGTCCGGCGGCAGCTCACGACGAAGCTCGTCCACGGTGATGTAGTTCTGCGGGGAGAGAATGCGGTCAGAGCGGCCGCAAAGCAAAGCGGCCGTAAAGTGGCGCAGTGCGGCACAGCCGCAAAGCCCGGTGGCCGTAAACCAGCTTGTGACATTAGGTAACCGGCTCCGTCCTGGTACTTCTTCCCGCGTGTGGACACGTATACGTGTACACTGTGTATGTTAAAAATCAAATCGTGTTGTCCACTTCAATCTCTTTCCAAGCTAACTCGATATGCTAATGACACCTAGAGTCTTCTCACATGTCACACTAGTCTGCAATCATCTGGTGCTGGAGCAATGGCAGACAGTCTGGTGGAACTTAGGTTCCTGGGGGACGGGACCTCACTCTTTTGGGCTTTCTGGAGGCCTCGGCCATAGAGTCTGATTGTAATGAGCCCTCTGGCAGATTAAGATGACCTTCCAGGTTTGGACATCACTGCTGTAGACAGCACCCAAAATCTGGCCCAGCTTAACCACGTAGCCCCACCCAGGTGGCTCACAGCCTGGGGCTCTGCCTTCCCGCTCCCCTCTGGGCTTGCCCACTGTAGGTCTACTTGGAAGCTGCTGCTTTTTAGGAGCTTGAGGGTCCAGAAAAGCTCACTCTGGGTCTCTGACCTACAAGGTCGGCCCCTGGCCCCATGCCCTATGTCTGCCAGAGTCCCATAGGACCCAGCTTAAGGGAAGGTGGGCTGCCACCACCAGCCCAAAAGTCAGGAGACCAGGCCCCCATCTGGGCCTCAATCTTCCTCCTCTACAAAATGAGTCCCTTCAACTAGATGGTCTGAGGATCTTTCCAGCTCTAAGGTGCTAGGAATCAAATTGAGAGTGTCCTTGATCCTAAATCAGACCTTTAGGGACCTCTTTGTTAGGTTCTGTCTTTATTCCCTTATAGATTGAGACATTTCAGAAATTATTCTCCCTATTGGGTTTTGCTTCTCATAACAATCTTTTCAGTTCTGAAGCAAGGATAGCAACAGGATTATCCTGTGAATTTTACAGAAAGGAAACCCAGCCCCCATTCACTCCCCACCCCAACTTCCTCTGGACACTCTTTTGAGTCTTTTCTATAATATTAGAGAGATCAGATCCCTGGGCTAGAGCTGGCTGTGGGTCTGAGGGACATCCAGGTCCACCAGTGACCATCTCAGACAGAGATCTGGCCTCCCTACAGACAGCCTCTCTGCATCTCCATTTCAAGCTGAGGCACTGCAGGACGACACTTGGGAAATCTGGAACCCAAAGCAGATCACTGCTCAGGGTAGAACAATGAGAGAAACATGCTTCCCACAGTCCATGTCTGTGCAAGGGTGACGTCCCCGGGGTTCTCAGATAGACTTCCACAGTCCAGTCACACACCCACATCACTCTACTGCCCTCCGCTACCTGTCATTTCATCACAACTATGAATGAGTCCCTCACTAATGTGTAGTGCCCCTGGCAGAGGACTCCCTTAAGCTGATACTGTGTCCTGGGATCCTGGAAGAAGAGCCCTCCTCCGCTCTGGATCAGAATCCAGCCAGTGCCCACATGCCGGGAGACTCACCTTGTCCCCCGCCAGGATCTTGAAGGAAGCCATGACCTGGTCTGCCGTATCTGTGTCGGCTGTCTCCCGGGACATGAAGTCGATGAAGGCCTGGAATGTCACTACCCCCAGGCGGTTGGGGTCCACAATGCTCATGATTCGGGCAAATTCTGCCTCTCCCTGGAGGGAACAGCCAAGCCCAGGCCCATCAGCTCTTGGCTGCTGGGAATATCTCATATGGACCTGAAGACTCTTAGAGGCTCAGACAGCCTGTGGCTGGAAGAAGATGGCACAGCAGCCCCCTGACCTAACTGGGGCTGTCCTGAGGATATGACAGGGACACATGACCCAACAGTGGAGACCCAGCTCAGGGGGTTCCCCACCCACTACAGATGCCTGGGTTCCCCATGAACAAAATAATACTGGTAAGAATTATAATGACAACAATGATAATGATAGCTAACACCTACATAGCACATATTATATGCCAAGCATCATTCTAAGTGCTTTATACATTTTAATTCATTTACTTCTCACCAAAACTAGATGAGATAGGCATCTTATTTTCATTGTACAGACAAGAAATCTAAGGCCCAGACGGGCTAAGTGACTTTCCCAGGGTCACACAGCCGGTAAGTGGCAGAGCTGGGATTTGAACTCAGTCTGGCTCTAGAATATGTTTTCTCCCCACCACTGTATTTCCTACATGCCAGATATGTACCCAGCATTTATGTAAGTTCCTTTAGTTAACCCTTATAACAGTCCTACAGGGTTTCCCTCACTTCCTCTAAGGCCACAAGCTGGTGACAGCAGGCCGGGATTTACTCACAGGTTCACTGTGTCTGGTCCCAAGACCCTGCCCTGCCCTGGGCAGCCTGTGGGCTCTGCACTTGGCACAAGGCCCAGGAGTCACCTGACTGCCCTGCTCAGAAAGTTTGCTTGAGGGTGCCAGACCAAGGTGGTCAGGGGGCCTGGGACAATGGCAAACAAGTGTGGGCCTGACTGGAACCATCACCAGGGTGGAGGGAGAAATCTAAATTACCACATCCCATGTGAGATGAAGGTGAGCCAACCCCAAACCCGGAAAGTCCAGGACTGCCAGTCCTTCCTGCCAGCCTCGGGGTGAGCCCAGCCCTCCACGGCAGGAGTGAGAAGCCCCGTCTCCACTGTAAGTACCAGAAGATGAACAGCAAGCATGGAGACTGAGGTGAGAAGGCCAGGCCTCCCGACACAGGCCATGGCTGGGCCCGGCTTTCAGGGAGCATCTTCCCCAGGGACCAGAGACTCAAGGCTCCTCCGGGGAGGGCCTCCAGCCTGCCACCGTGCCACTGCTAGGACTCGGCCTCTCCCGCCAGCTGGCTCCTCCTCACCAGGGCAGGCAGAGGGTGGGGTTTACGTTACCATGTTGTAACCCATGGAGATAAGGCAGGCGCGGAAATCATCCGTGTCCATCATGCCTGTCTTCTTCTGTGGGGCAGTGGCACCGAGACACAAGGAGGGTCAGAAAGGCGGGAGGAGGAAGGGCCGGCCCGGGGCCAGGACAGGGCACAGACGGCCAGAGGGGAGGATGAGGTTCATGGTTTAGGGGACATGAAGGGGAGAGGAACACAGAGAAGTAGACGCAAATACACATCCGGGGGAAACGTCCACAGGAAGGAAGAAAACAGAGCAGGAAGATGCAAAGATCCGTCCGCAGGATGAGGAGCGGCCAGGAGAGAGGAGGGCGGGCACCAGGCAGGTTCCCACGGAAGACGAGCGAGGGCAGAGGCCGGAGGATGGAGCAGTGGGAGGAGGAGCCCGACACAGGGCGGGCAGGGACAGCAGGAGAGACGAGCCCCACGGCCCACAGGAGGGGGACAGGGAGATCCAGACAGAGAGAAGAGAAAAAGGAAAAACGCGTTATTTCTCGCCCCAGATGCCACCCTGAGCATGCTCCATGCAGGAGGCGAGTACCTGGGGGTCGTTGCCAATATCATAACCCAAGCTGATGAGGCAGGCTTTGAACTCCTCGGGACCCAGTGTGCCGGAGTGATCCTGGGGCCGTGGTGCGCCAGGCAGCGAGCCATGCGGTGCCAGGGAGGTGGAGGCCGTGAGGGGCATGCCCCGGGGAGGGTGGCGTGTGTGGGGAGACACGGGCACAGAGGCATGCGGGTGGGAGGGTGGGGGTGGGGGAGGAGGGGAAATAAAAGTGCACACGGTTAGACACATGGACAAGGTTCCAGGGTGTGCCCTCTCCCAGCACACACAGCTCTGCTCCGGGAAACAGGGCCAGAGCAGAGCGCCATGAGTCATGAGGGTGAGCAGCCCCCCAGGAGTGCCCCCCGCCCAGCCCACCTTCCCCAGGGGCTCCCCCCCGCCCAGGTGCCTGGAGGGCCGTGAAACAGGCAGGGGAGGGGGGCAGCACTTAAGCCCATGCCCCTGCACCCTATGGCCACCCCCAAGCCCCAGGGCACTGAGAAGGGGCAGACTAAGGCCCATCCTATCTGGAGCTGGGATGAAAACCCAGGACAGTAGCTGTCGTCCTCGGCAGAGTGGCCCAAAGGCTGCCAGGAGGAGGACTCCCAGGAGTCTCTGCTCCTCCATCCCCTGGGGCAGAGGTGAGGGACAGTCCCCACAGCCGAGGGACAGCAAGCCTTCAACTGAGGGTTGATTCCTCAGGGCAGGCACTCAAGGGTCAGGGGTACAATGTCTCTCTCCACCCACAATATAAGCGCTCGCCAAGAAAGCAGGAAGCTCATGTGATACCGGGACAGGCTGTCCAAGGCTGGCTTCGTGGGGTGCACCGAGTCAGGGCAGGCTGATGGCAGCCCTACACTTGCACGGCAGCCCACACCCTGGGCAGGCACTGCCCTCCAGGGCCCTGGGGCGGAGGTTGGGAGCTGCGCTCAGCAAGCGCCTGGGCGGGGCTCACCCGGTCAAAGTGGTTGAAGGAGGCCCGGAACTCGCTCATCTGCTCCTGGCTGATGCCCTTGGCGTCCCGGGTCAGGATCTGGTTCTCCACCTCGTTGATGGTCCTGGCGATGGTGGTGAGCAGCTGCTCCCAGCCCACACGGATGTGCTGCGGGCAGGCAAGGGGCCTGTCAACAGAGGGGCTCCAGGCTGCCCTGCCCACTCCTCCCTCCAACCATCCAAATGGCCAAAGCCACCAAACCCGGCCTTCCCTCTGGATTCTCAGTGTCACCAGCTGGAGGAGAAGCTGGACAAGGACAACCTACTAGGCAGGGGACCCTAGATGGTGAAGGGGCAGGGTGGTGGCCTCTGCCCGGGGCAGCAGAGATCAGGGCTTGCCAACAGGCGGAGGGTCAGGAAGGAGGGCAGATCCAGTAGCAGGAGAGATTAAGAGACACTGACTGACACACATATACACATACATGTGCACACACATGCCTGCACACACACCCTTTCACAGTCAAAACAAGCAGTCGTTTAGAAAGTAGGTGCCTAAGCCAGTGTTTGGAGCCTACCAGCACCTGAATAACCAGGCATTCTTGTTAAAAATTGAGATTCCTGAGCTCTACCCCAGAACTAGTGAATCAAATTCTGTGGATAGGGCTAGAAACGTGAACTCCTAACAAGTCCCTTGGGAAATCCAGAAGGCACTGAAGATGGGTAACCACCCCCATACCAGGGGAGAACAGAAGGGACATGGGCCCCCTCCGGAGGCACAAGGCCAGCCCACCCACCTCCATGGTGTAGTTGGTGTGCTTGTTGTCAAAGATGAGCGCCTCCTGGATGAGCTGGTGGTCACCCTCCAGCTGGTCGATCTTTGGCTTGTAGTTGACAATGCTCTTCTCGTACTGCCGCAGGTGGCTGAGCTGGTCCTCCAGGGTCCCGTGCATCTCGATGGAGATTCTCCCGATCTCCTGCTCATCCGAAAGAAGGCACCGTGTCAGACCACCCGTGGGGTAGGGACTAGGGTCCCCGAAGTCACTGGCTAACTCTCAGATGATTCCTGGTTCCCCTCCCAGCCCTAGGGAGGCCATCACTGGTAATCACTACGGCACATTTAGCGTGAGTGCTCCTTGGTGTGGAAACAGCATCATAAAGGTGTGGAGCAAGCACTGTTATCATTGGATGAAACACCTCCCACCTCTCAGGCACCTGTCAGCCTCAGGAAGGGATGCAGGGTCTGTGGCTAACCTAAATGTTCACCTCTGCTTGCTATTCAAACCTCCTTCCCAAGCCTTGTTCCTTAACGTCGTCATCTCAGGGACCCACTGAGCCAGGACCCTCACAGCCCAGCACACCTGGCTCACCCCCTCAGTGGCCATGTTCTTGCTCCTGCCGCTCTGCACCTTGGGGTGCTTGCCCTGGCCACCTGATTCCACCCACCTCGCAGGCCAGGCTGAATGCCCATTTCTGTCTGACATTCATCCACACAAATACACCTCATTTGTGAACACGCTTTCTGTCCACTCAAATCAATCCAGCAAATATATCTGCTGAGTGACTACCAAGCACAATATGTGGGGGGCAGGGGAGTGGCACACACAAATGTGAACTTGTCATGGTCTCTGCCCTTAAGGAGCTCAGAGGCCATGCTCTAGCCAGAGCACCCCACTAGTTAGCCCACACAATTCAGCAAAAGAACCCTACACTTGACCAGGCTTCGATTCTCTCTCTAAGAAGACCATCCTCTTACCCCAAGCTCATCGCTCAAAAGGAGCAGTAAGGGCGGAAGAGGAGGCCTGGTCAACGAGAGCCACCAAAGGGACTAAACTGAATTGGACACTCAGAGACGACCCTCCTATGAAAACTCCCATATGTGGCTCCCTGGTTGTCCTTGTCTTTGCTCCCAAATTAGATACCGCGATGAAGCCTTCAGGCCTTCCCTGCAGAGGCCTCTACACCTGTCTGCAGCACAGCAGACAGTCCTGGGCTCAGGGCCTCAGTCCTCCTGGGTCCCACCCGGAGAGACAGGCAACCTGGCTGGGATGCAGCTGGGGAGGGGTAAGAGCCCCGAGCTGGACTGCCCAGGGCGGGACCCACCTCCATCTTGGTCTGGATCCAGGGCCCAATGACGTTGGCCTGGGCCCCGAACTGCTTGCGTAGCCTCTCGTTGTGCTGCTGGCGGGCGTGCTCCTCTGTCAGAGCCTGGTCCCTCCGTGGCACCAGCTGCCGCACCTGGGGTGGGAACAACCATGGGACCTTGAGGATGGGCCAGCCATCTGCCCGAGGAGGAAATGGAGGACCCATGTGGGGAAGGGGCCAGACAGCAACAGAACAGAAACGAAGATGTCAACCTGTTCCAGAAATTCAGTTATTCGCTAGCTGGACACACAATGAGTGTTTACCATGTGACAATTTAAAACATGAACTCAACAAAAATCAACGAAGAAAAGACAAAAACCCCTGCCCTTGTGAAACTCACGTGGTCCCATTTGCCATTGATCTCCTGAGGCGTGATGGTTGTGTAGGGGTTGGTGCCCGCCATGTTGACGTGGTAGGTCTGTACGATCTTGGACACCTCGTTGTGGATGCCCAGGATGGCCAGGCGCTCCTTGTCGGCATCAGGGAGGGTGGCCTTGAACTGCTCGTGGGCTGTGGTCAGTCCCTGGACAGACACAGGGATGGAGGAGTGCAGTCACTCAGGGGGCTGGTGCCTGCCCTGGGCAAGAGGAGCAAGGGGGACCCTTGGAGTCCAGGAAGAGGTGGGTGGAGGGGCCATGGGAGCAGGGGCCCACACCAGCTGGCAGGCATCAAACCAAAGATTGTTACTGCTGAGAACCCGGATGGAAGGGAAGCCCCAGGAAGACGAAGGCAGAGTCATCAAAGCAACAGCTTCATCCTTGGGGCTGGGGAAATTGGTAGAAACCACTCTGGGACAACATTCACTATCCTAGAGTCACGTTGGGGGCAAGGGGTACCCTAGAGGTCTGTCCCCTAGGTGACCGCCCCCCAGCACTGGCTTCCTCAGCTCTTTGCAAAGCCTTTTTTGTTGCTGTTGTTGAGACAGAGTCTCGCTTTGTTGCTGGGCTAGAGTGAGTGCCATGGCGTCAGCCTAGCTCACAGCAACCTCAAACTCCTGGGCTCCAGCAATCCTCCTGCCTCAACCTCCCAAGTAGCTGGGACTACAGGCATGCGCCACCATGCCCAGCTAATTTTTTCTATATATATTAGTTGGCCAATTAATTTCTTTCTATTTATAGTAGAGACGGGGTCTCGCTCTTGCTCAGGCTGGTTTCGAACTCCTGACCTTGAGCAATCCGCCCACCTCAGCCTCCCAGAGTGCTAGGATTACAGGCGTGAGCCACTGTTCCCAGCCTGCAAAACCTTTTAAATCTAATACTTTGCAGCTGTATAAAAGGTTGAGGAAGCTGTTAATTGATGTGAAATGAGTTCCAAGATAAATGTTCAATTAAGAATCAAGGCTCAGGATACAGTATATAATAAAAGCTATTTTTTGTGTTTTAAAAAAAGATACAGAAAAGAACATGGAAATAAACACACTTGCTTATGTATGCAGACTATGGTCATGTTCTTACCTGGGGGTGGGGGAAAACCTGAGAAGGGAGACTTTTTATTTACTTATTTATTTTTTGTGACAGTCTCACTCTTTCACCCAGGCTAGAGTGCCATGGTATCAGCCTAGCTCACAGCAACCTCAAACTCCTGGGCTCAAGTGATCTTCCTGCTTCAGCCTCCCAAGTAGCTGGGACTACAGGTGCACACCACCACACCCAGCTAATTTTTCTATTTTTACTAGGAATGGGGTCTCATTCTTCCTCAGGCTGGTCTCAAACTCCTGACCTCAAGTGATCCTCCTGCCTCAGCCTCCCAGAGTGCTAGGATTACAGGTGTGAGCCATCACGCCGGGCCAAGAAGGGAGATCTTATTGCACACCCTTTTTATTTTTTGGATTTTTTACCATGTGTATATATTACCTCATCAAATAAATAAAATGCAAAGGTTTCAAATCTACAAAATCCTTGAGATGCTCTTCCTCAGTCCTCTACCCTACAGGGGCAAGTCCTGCAGGAGTGTGACCTGCATAGCGTGGGCCATGGCAGCTGGGGGAGTGGCCACTGGGGCGGGACATGTGGCTCACCTGGATCTCCTCAATGGTGTGCACAATGAAGGTGTCCTGCAGGTCCTCCATGGCCCCCTCCATCCAGTTGTTGAAGGGCGCGGCCCGCTTGGCATACTCCAGATACAGCTGGTCGATGGTCTCTAGCAGCTTCTCCGTCCGCTGAGAGGGGTGGGGGTGGGGGTGTTCAGCAAAGTGATGTCCAGAATCATCCCCCACCTCTATCAAGGTTCTCCTGCGAGCCCCAAGGGGTCCAGGTTGAGGAGCCCTATAGGGACCACCTCACACTGCAGTCGCCTGGCCCGGCCCCCAGAGTGTCTGGTTTGTAGAACAGGGAGGTTCTCAAATGGCTGTGGTTGGGTTGTCAAGTGCACCAAACTGGGAGGATGAGATATGTTAGGGCAAGAGAGGAGGCATCTCCGTCAGGGCAAAGACCAAATCCTGTGCCAAAGTGAATCTTCCAGTTAGGCCAGGGGTAGGGGAGGGCCGGGGAACCCCTGAAGTCAAACCCCTTACGCCAAAGCAAAGAGAGCCTTGAATCAGGAAGAGGCACTGCACACAGCTGCTAAGCGCAGGCCCAGGTCTCCCTCCAGGGCCCCTCACCTCTAGAGCTTCCCTCCGCTTCTGAGTTAGGGCCCCCAGATTGTCCCACTGGTCACAGATCTTTTGGCAACGGGCATTGACACTGGGTGAGTCATAATAGTCCAGCTCACTGGGGAGGGAAGAGACAAAGCAGTCAGGCGGCCTGGGTTAATTCCCTGGTCCTCTCTCTCCCCCTGGGGTGGGGGGCACTCGTGGTGTGGGAAGATCCAGGGGTGCTCCCTTCATCAGACCTTCCAGGCACCCTTCCCATCCCACACCCTTGGCTTTCAGAAGACCAGTAGGGAGGAGACCAGAGAAAGCCAGTCCTCCTCTCCAACGGCCTCTGCCCAACCAAGGCTGGAGGTGATACCAGCCTTTACCCCAACACCTAATGTCAGGCAGCCACTGAGGCCCAACAGGAAAGCTCAGAGCCAAGGCTTGGCCATTCTCGGCTCCTGCAGTAGCCACAGGTGAGGAAGGAAGCCTGCGCCAGGATGGGAATGGTCACAGGCTGGTCACCCAGTAGCATGGATGCTCCTGTCTTCTGTATCAACTCTTTTCCCATCTATACACCCATCTGCACCCACCCTTCTCACTTTCCACGGCCATGCCCCCATCTCCCACATGGGCTGAGAATGCCAAGCCCCAGCCCCTCACTGGGAGCCACAGGGAAGGGTGCCGGGGCTGCCTACTTGAGCTCCTGTGCGATGGCCGCGATCTGCTCCACGCGGTCCTGGTGGGCGGCCAGGTCGCTCTCGAAGGCCTCGTGCTTCTTGAGCAGGGCCTTGATCTCCGAGAGCGTGGCTGTCTCATAATCCTTCTGCCGCAGCATGACCTCTTTGCCTGGGTTCAGAGAGAGGGGCACACGGCTCAGCAGGAGCAGGGGCTGGGGGGGGGCATCTTCTTGGCCCTGACCACCCACCCCACAGAGCCCCAGGAGCTCCACTTCTAGGAGCACTTCCCAAGGAGGCGTCCACTGTACGGCGATCTGCCAGGCCCAGGCTGTGTCCCCACGTGTCATTTCTGTCCTATCCTCTACTCTTTTTTCTTAAATAGGAATGATAATACAATGAATTTAGTAAAAGAAAATTACAGATAAGCCTACTTATCTACCTCTATTCAGTCTTTCCTTATATGGATGTTCTATTAAAACATTGGGCACATATGTGTCATATTTCCTGCTTTTGAAATATTTAGCAGCACATCATCAGAATTTCTACTCTGGTTCTGCGGTGTTCCGGCTGCACAGACGTCCCGTCGAGTGTCTGCACCACTGACGTAGCCACCCCTGCCCTCCCGTGGGACACTTACGCCCTGTGGCTTGCACTGTCACAGATGTCTCACCAACCACCTCCAGGCATGTGCTCTCCCCATGGTTAGGGCTAACTCTCTGGACAGTCTCGAGGAACGGAATGCCCAGGTCAGAGAGTAATAAAATCGTTAGGTGTGAATACATATGGCCAAACTGCTGTCCCCAGAGGTTGTGCCGGCATGCCAGCACTTCTCATGCTCTTGCTGGCAGCTGACAAGCTCATGAGGACAATCCTTGCCCTGTACCTTGGCTGTGAACTATTCCTTGGCCCAAGAGAGGACACATGCTAGCAGCAGCAGGTGATGAGTGGGTACAACCTCCACCATCTCCCTTCTGCTCTGCTGCACCCACGCCTGGGTAAGTAGCTCCACACAGGCACGGTGGAAGGTGGAGCAGCACCTCTGGTCACTGTGCGTGAAGCCCAGCACACGTGCTCATAACAGGGCGCCACCCCAACCCCCCCTTAGCTGAGGCAAGCACTCTTGTCCCCCTACACTAAGCCGAGCCACTCCCAAATGGCCTTAGGGTATGGCTCTCCCTACTCATCTCCAGCCTAAGGTTTCAGGAGCACAAAACAGGGCTGAATGGGGGAGTCCTGAGCTCCACTGGCCAACGGGTCTGCCCCAGGGGTTCCAGCTGAATGGTCGGCAGGGCCGAGGAGATGGGCAGCCCGCCCGCCCCCTGCCGCCCTGGCCCAGGTTCCGAGGACGAGACTTCTCAGACAGAGATACAATTGTCTCTCTTCAGAGTGAACCTCACCTGCCAATAAGCAGACGCTAGACACAGCCCAAGTGCCTCAAGGGGCATACGTGTGCTAAGGCAAGGGCACCGGTTCCTGCCATGCCACGGGAGGCCGGGCAGTGGAGGGAGCAGAGGACATCCAGGGCTACTCCCACCTGAGTGCGCCACCTGCTGGGCACTGAACTGAACATACGACGTACTTAGCATATCTATGCTTCACAACAACCCCAGGAGGAGGTTGTGTTACGTTGAAGAGCACCCCCGAGAACCTCACAATGTGATCTTATTTGGAAATAGGATGGGCCCTAAAGTCAACAACTGGTCTTTATTAGAGAAAGGAAAGGGAGGTCCAGTCACAGCGACACCAAGAGAAGCTGCCATGTGAGGTTACAGGCAGAGACTGGGGCTATGCAGCTACACGCCAAAGGACACCCAGGACTGTGCAGCCACCAACACTGGGGGGCAGCGTGGAACAGCCTCTCTGGGGCCACCAAAAGGAACCAGCCCCACCAACATCTCAATTTAGGACAGCCGGCCTCCTGACCTGAGAATAAGTTTCTGCTGTTTTAAGCCACCAAGTTTGTGTAAATCTGGTACAGCAGCCCTAGGAAACTGACACAGGAGGGCGCGTTGTCACCCTGAAGGGCCAGTCACCACTCCAAACTGACTCCGCTTCTAAGCGGTGGATTCTAAGAGTCAGTATTCAAACCCAACCTGACTCAGGGGAGGAAGAATCAATTACTGTGACAAGAACAATAAAAAATTAGCACTTGCAAAGCACTGCACTGCGCCAGGAACATCTCAGTACTTTGTATGTATTAATTGATTTAATTCTCATAAACCCATGAGGTTGGTACTGTTATTATCCCCACTTTATTGATGAGGAAACTGAGACAACCAAAAGGCTAATGAACTTGCCTAATGTCACAGAACTAGTAAGGGACAAAAATGAAAAAAAGCAAAAAGCAAGAGGAGAGAGTTGCGGCTGGTGGCGGGGGAAAGCCCGGACCCTGGGGAGGCAGAGCTGGGTTGGCCTCACCGTCCGTCCAGGCCTCGTGGATGGAGGCCTTCTGCCGGAACTTCTCCGCCAGGTGGTCGAGCCGCTCCAGCCTCCGGATCTCATTCAGCAGCCACTCCTCGTAGCCCTTCTCCACCTGCTCCAGGCAGCCCCAGGCGTTGTTGATGTCCTGTGGGGAGGGGAGGCGCATGGTCAGGCCCCAGACCCCCTCCCGAGCCCCCTGCCTGCTCCATGCCTCCCATCTCTGCCCCATATCCATCCCAGCTCCCACTGGCATTTCCCTGGGCTCCCGGGAGCCAGGCCCCGGGAGGCTTGGGGCCTGGCAAGGCTTGGGGCCTGTGTCCATGTGGGTCAGCGAGCTATGGGGCTTTGAGTAAGGAAAGAGCCCAAGGCCCTCCCTCCCCAGGGCTGGCTTCTGACAGGACTCCATACAATCCTAAGGCTCTTGGTCCCAGCCAGGTACACAGAGCGATGAACAAGGCAAGCAGACATGGAAGCCACCCAGCATTCCTGTGTTCTTCGATCTATCCATGAGCTCAGGCCTCTGGGCAGTAGCCTGGAGACTGCAGGGACCCTGGCCTGGGCGAGCCGGCCACAATTCCAAGAGGAGAAACACTGAGTGCAAACCCACACCCCTTCAGACTGGGCCACTCCCTCCAGCTGGTGCAAGTATGCCCAGCTGATCAGTGACTGGGGCTGGCCCTGTATGCCACCCTCCCCACCACGCGTCTTGGGCCGGGCTGCATTTGCCCCAAGGAATGGGCACTTTGATTCTCACAGAGCACCCTCTGGCTAGCAGCCGCTCTGGCTTCCTAAAGCCTACTGATTCGGCCTTGGAACACAAAAGAGGACTGCAGTTTTCCAAATTGCCTACAGTACATCAAAGTCTTTTTTTTTTCTCCCTTTGTGATGCCCTGGATGCTGCCTCTCCCAGCGCTGCCTGCCTTTCACCCGTCCCATTCCTGTCGTACATGCCTGTGTGTGCTTGTTACTCTTTACTTTAAGAACAAAAAGATCTGTCACAGGGAACTTGTTAAATTTTCTTCTGTATGTTTCTCTGGCTTATAAAATTTTTTCCTATAAAAATGTACCCCGGGGACAGGGTAAGGAGAATGAATAATTATATGAATAATAATAATAATGAATAAAAGTGACATAGGCTGGGCATTATGGCTCATGCCTGTAATCCTAGCACTTTGGAAGACCGAAGAGGGAGGATCACTCGAGGCCGGGAGTTTGAGGTTGCAGTGAGCTATGATCATGCCACTGAACTCTAGCCCAAAGCAACAGAGATTTTGTCTCAAAAAAAAAGTGACATAAAAGAAGAGTATTTCATGACATGGAAAGTTGGTCAACATAATATTAAGTTAACTTTTTTTTAAAGCAACTTGTTATATAAAACATGCTTTAGGATTCCCTGAAAACTTATATTTATATGGAAAAACTAAAAGGATCCTTTTAAAGACTATAAGTAATTTCTATTTTCT